GCAGATTGACAACCTGCAACGAGTGAAGCAGAAGCTGGAGAAGGAGAAGAGTGAGCTGAAGATGGAGACTGATGACTTGGCCAGTAACATGGAGTCTGTCTCCAAAGCCAAGGTACTGAAAAGTATATTGAAAACAACTTGAAAACAAATAATGTTGAAACATATCTTTTTAAAATATGGTCAGGTTACGACATATCTCTCTGTCTGTTTGTAGAACTGTATTTCTAACCTTGTAGCGCCAATGAGCAGTATATAGATTGCACTTGTATTCACATTTTTCTGGTAAGAATCATCCTGTTCAGAATAAGGAGGAGCCCAGATACCAGTCTTCTTTCCTTCTCTGTGATCTCCACAGGCAAATCTGGAGAAGATGTGCCGCACACTGGAAGATCAGCTGAGTGAGATTAAGACAAAGGAAGAAGAGCATCAGCGCATGATCAATGACCTCAATGCTCAAAGAGCTCGTCTGCAGACAGAATCAGGTGAGAGAACCTCCTCTGTTCTGCGGAATGGGAGAGCATCCTAAAACAGGTTTTTTGTGTCATGAATGGCAATTAATGTATTTCCTTTCTGTGTGCTTTCCTAGGTGAATATTCACGCCAGGTGGAAGAGAAAGATGCTCTGATTTCTCAGCTCTCAAGAGGCAAGCAGGCTTTCACCCAACAAATTGAGGAACTCAAGAGGCACCTAGAGGAAGAGATAAAGGTGATCACTTTTCCTACAGCTGGCCATTGAAAACTCTTAACTTCACACTGCCTAGTGGGGACAGGGTCTGATTAGCACAAGCCATACTGGGAGAAGATTTTCATTTCTGTGGGGAGTGCGATTAATGGATTTTTGTCCTCCAGGATTTTTTTCCTCTGCCCTTCACTACAATCACCTACACCCTCCCAGTGGTCATGTTATCAGTGTTAAATTAATTCATTGGAAGAGATTTCCCAGGATATTACCATTTCTGTCCCAATCCCACACTCTACCCAGGCCAAGAACGCCCTGGCCCACGCCTTGCAGTCTGCTCGCCATGACTGTGACTTGCTCCGGGAACAATATGAGGAGGAGCAGGAAGCCAAGGGGGAGCTGCAGCGTGCCCTGTCCAAGGCCAACAGCGAAGTGGCCCAGTGGAGAACCAAATATGAGACGGATGCTATTCAGCGCACGGAGGAGCTGGAGGAGGCCAAGTGTGTGGGGAAAGTGGGAAAGATAAAAAATGGGGAAGATTAAGAAGGGAAATTTGAAGACACAACTGCAATTTTGTCATAAAAAGTTAAAGCTGTGCTTTGGGGCAGGGTAAGAGTTGAGGTAAAGTATATCTTCCAAAGGGTGTGGTTTAGGAAATGCAGAGGAAAATATCTCCATCCCAGAGAACACTACAGAAAACCTGTGGGTGGTAGACACAGAAGGCATGCTGGTTGTTCAAGCCTCGGAATCAGAGCTGGGAAACAATGGCTAGCTAGAAGAAGACTTGCACTCTCTGTGCAAGGATACATACTCAATGAAGTGGTAAAACATCCTGTTGTGAAAAATCCATCAACCACTCACCACAGCCTCCCTTTTGCTCTTAAACCGTGACCTGTGCTTATCTCCTCCCAGGAAGAAGCTGGCACAGCGCCTGCAGGATGCAGAGGAACATGTCGAAGCCGTCAATGCCAAATGTGCCTCCCTGGAAAAGACCAAGCAGAGGCTGCAGAACGAAGTGGAGGACCTGATGATTGACGTGGAGCGATCGAATGCTGCCTGCGCAGCTCTGGATAAGAAGCAGAAGAACTTTGACAAGGTCTTTTAGGCTCCAGACCTGGGGCTCCTGGGCAGAGCATCCCCTCCTCATTGCCACATCCATACTCACGCCCCGTTTCTCTTCAGATCCTGGCAGAATGGAAGCAGAAGTATGAGGAAACGCAGGCTGAGCTGGAAGCCTCCCAGAAGGAGGCTCGCGCTCTCAGCACGGAGCTGTTTAAGATGAAGAATGCCTATGAGGAGTCCTTGGACCACCTGGAAACGCTGAAGCGTGAGAACAAGAACTTGCAGCGTAAGTCCCTGGCCCTCTGCTCCTGGCAGGGCTTTCTCACTATGCACCACTACCCACCGCTCCACATGGGTCTGTGCCTGCAGGTCTGCAAAGCTGCCTTTTACGTTGGTGTGGCAGGGCCCTTCCCATTCTGCTCTGTGCCTGACCATGCCCTTGGTCTTTGTTCCCACAGAGGAGATTTCTGACCTCACGGAGCAGATTGCTGAGGGAGGAAAGGCGATTCATGAGCTGGAGAAAGTCAAGAAGCAGATTGAGCAGGAGAAATCTGAACTCCAAGCCTCCCTGGAGGAAGCTGAGGTACATGCCCATAATCATTGTTTTCCAGAGATGGGTATTGAGGAACAGTGTGAGAAAAAGTTGGGACTGTCAAGGAAAGTCAAGGCCTCAGTTTCCACATCACCCAAAGCAAAATAGTCCCACTTTTCTGTGTCGAAGGTAGTTTGGAAGAGAAGAGCTGTAGGAAAAACTCCTTTTATTGACATGGTGTTTCTCTCTTATTCAGGCCTCCCTAGAACATGAAGAGGGCAAGATCCTGCGCCTCCAGCTTGAGCTCAACCAGGTGAAGTCTGAGATTGACAGGAAGATAGCAGAGAAAGATGAGGAGATCGACCAGATGAAGAGAAACCACCTCAGAATTGTGGAGTCGATGCAGAGCACCCTGGACGCTGAGATCAGGAGCAGGAACGAAGCCCTGCGGCTGAAGAAGAAGATGGAGGGAGACCTGAATGAAATGGAGATCCAGCTGAGCCATGCCAACCGCGTGGCTGCAGAGGCACAAAAGAACCTGAGAAACACACAGGGAGTGCTCAAGGTATATTAGGCTAAGGATGTGCACATAGCTGTCTAGCTTGTCTAATGTCATAGAATCATTGAATCATGGAATGGTTTGGATTGAAAGGGACCTTCAGAGGTTATCTAGTCCAACCCCCCTGCCATGGGCAAGGACGTCTTTTACTAGATTAGACTGCTCAAAACCCCATCTAACCTGACCTTGAATACTTCCAATGATTGGGCATCCACAATGTCCTGTCACTGGGTAGCAGGGAGAAGAGATCAGCACCTCCCTCTTCACTTCCTCTCCACAGGAAGCTGTAGAGAGTAATGAGGTCGCCCTTCAGCATCTTTCTCTCCAAACTTGACAAACCCTGTGTCCTCATTCACTTTGCAGAGGACATGCCTCTCAGACCTTTCACCAGCTTTGTTGCCCTCCTCTAGATGCATTCAAGTACTTCAACATCCTTTTTAAATTGTGGAGCCCAGAACTGCACACAATACTTAAGATGAGGCCACACTAGAGCTTAATACAACAGGAATTCAGCTTCAATTGTGCCTTAGCTTTCCTGATGCTATCCCTACCCATTCGGGCAGCAGCCCTATATTCTTCACAGGATGCATGTCTTTGGTTCCACTATGAATTTCCTTCTTACAGTTCATTTTGATCAGAAGGTCCTTACTCAGCCATGCTGTTCTACTGCCTTCCTTGCCTGATTGCTTACACATGGGAATTGAGAGCTCTTGCACTTTAAGAAAAATGTTCTTAAAGAGCTGCCACCTCTTTTCTGCTCCTTTATCCTTGAGGGCAGTTTCCCAGGGTGTCCCACCCAGTAATTCCTTAAACAACTGAAAGTCCGGTCTCCTAAAATTCAGGGTCTTGACCTTACCCTTCCTGTGGCCCATATCTCTCAAGATTGTGAATACCACCAGGGCATGATCACTGCAGCCCAGGCTGCCACCAGTCTTGACATCTCTAATTAGTTCATCTGTGTTGTTAAGCAAAAGGTCCAGTAATTCCTCTCCTCCAGTTGGGCTGTCTATCCCTTGGATGAAGATATTATCCTTGATTCACTCCAGGAGTGTCCTGGACTGCTTACAGCTTTCTATGCTGCTTTTCCAGCAGATGTCAAGGTGACTGAAATCCCCCAGCAGGATCAGAGCCTGAGAGTATGATCCTTCCCATAGTTGAAGTAATAACACTTCCTCAACAGGTGGTCAGGTGGCCTCTACTAAACACCAGCCACAAGGTCTCCTTTATGCTTGGCCTCTAATTTTCACTCATAAGCTTTCAATCTGGCTCATCACTGTTTTTCAAAGACAGCTCTGTGCAATCAATCCATTTTTTACATAGAGGGCAACCTGCCCACCTCTCCTTCCTTGCTTGTCCCTTCTGAACAGTTTATAGCCACCAATTGCAGCACTCCAGTCATGTGAATCATCCCACCAAGTTTCAGAGACAGCAATTAGATCATGGCTTTCTAGCTGCACAGTGGCTTCCAACTCCTCCTGTTCATTACCCATGCTATGTAGAGAGACATTTTGGTTGGGCTGTCAACCATAACACCTTTTTAGAGGAACAAACCCTAATTCCTTTGCAGCATTTCACAGATGTTTACCTGTTGCTTCCTAATACATCAGCAGCCCCTGTCTCTTCTCTGTTACTCAAAACTCCACTCCCTTCCCCTGCTAAGTCTAGTTTAAAGCTCTGGCCAGCTTGTTGGCAAAGACCCTCTTGCCCCACTTGATCAAGTGAATCCCATCAGCTCCCAACAGACCAAGCTTCTCAAAGGCAGATCCATGATCATAGAAGCCAAAACCTTGAATATGGCGCCAGCTAGACAGCCAGGCATTCACCTGTTCAATTTTTCTCCTCCTTCCTGAATGCCTTCCTCTGACTGGGAGGACAGAGGAGAACACCACCTGTGCTCCAGATCCTTTCAACATTGTTCTGGGGATATATAGTCTCTTTTGATGGTTATAAATTGCCTTGTTGCAATATTGTTAAAACCTACATGGAATAGTAGAAGCATATGATAAACTGAAGGGTTCACCAGGCTTGGTATCCTCTCAGTGCCATCAAAATGCAAGCTCCTTGTAGGCAGCAAACTTCTCTAGAGAAATTGTCTGGATGGTAAATGGGTGTTTTGGTGCCTCTCAGTGAGGAATCTCCAATTACTAATACCTTATGCGCTTTTCTGGTGGCACTGGTTCTAATGTGAGTGGGTGGTTGGATCAACTTTACATGGTTGACTTTTCCTGGATCCTGTCAGTTACTTGTATGCTCTTGATTTTTCAACCCCAGAACGTTGTGTCTGTTATGTAGGGGCACTTCACGGGATAGGGGAAGGTTCTTTCTTCTGCCACAAGCAGGGACAAAGGTCCAGTTTCCTTTATCTTGTAAGTTACCTGTGTCAGTAAGCTGGAGTTTGAATTAAAGTTTACGTTCCCCTCGCACAGCCTTAAATTTAAGTAGGGCTGTCACTCAGCCTGGGGCAGTGTGCAATATCAATCTCCTGCTCACATTCTTAGACACTGTGCATATACTGACATAATAATTCTGCATATAAATATATATTATAAATATATATATTTTATACTGACGGATTAATTATTAGACTGGTGGTAATTGCCATTGTGCAACAGTGCTGTGCTGCCTTATAATTTCTCTTCTGTCTCTTAAAGGACACCCAGATACACTTGGACGATGCTCTCAGGACACAGGAGGACCTGAAGGAGCAGGTGGCCATGGTGGAGCGCAGAGCAAACCTCTTGCAGGCTGAAATTGAGGAGCTACGGGCAGCCCTGGAGCAGACAGAGAGGTCAAGGAAAGTGGCTGAGCAGGAACTGATGGATGCAAGTGAGAGAGTTCAGCTCCTCCACACTCAGGTTAGATTCATGAGATTCAAAATCTCAAGAGACATTTTTTTTCCCATTTTCAGATTTTTCATCTGTGTAAATTCTTAAATCATCTCTTCTAATAAAAAACTTAACCTGGACCTGAATTATTACTTTTGTACAAAAAATTGGATTATAGTTAAAAGAGTAGGATTGCATTAACAGGAGTCAGAAGTGCTTCTTAAAATTTTAAGAAGAAGTCTCCGCTATCTAGCTGTGTACATGTACATGACATGCACGTGACATGTAGATGTACAGGACATCATGCATCATTTGAAGGAGGATGCTAATATTAGATATATAAATGAGAAATTTAAATGGTAATTTTTTTGAAATAAACGTTCTGCTTTGGAACTAACTGGACAATATTTTTTGTTGTTCAACAGAACACCAGCTTGATTAACACCAAGAAGAAGCTGGAAACAGATATTGCCCAAATTCAGGGTGAAATGGAGGATACGATCCAGGAAGCCCGCAATGCTGAAGAGAAGGCCAAGAAGGCCATCACAGATGTGAGTTGGGGGCTCCTTTCACTGCTGGAGATAAGTACCTTCTCTGCAAACTGTCTGCAGCCCCAAGATGGCTTTGACCCTTTGCTCTCATCAGGCAGCCATGATGGCAGAAGAGCTGAAGAAGGAGCAGGACACCAGCGCCCACCTGGAGAGGATGAAGAAGAACCTGGACCAGACCGTGAAGGACCTGCAGCACCGTCTGGATGAGGCTGAGCAGTTGGCACTGAAGGGAGGCAAGAAGCAAATCCAGAAGCTGGAGGCCAGAGTGCGTAGGGCTGATACTTGTGCATGAGTGAGCGTGTCCCTTGGAGAGATACCAGGGAAGCTCCAAAGATGGGCTTCTCATTGCAGGTGCGGGAGCTGGAAGGGGAGGTTGATGCTGAGCAGAAGCGCAGCGCTGAAGCCGTGAAGGGTGTGCGCAAGTACGAGAGGAGGGTGAAGGAGCTGACCTACCAGGTAAGGCAGGAGGCCTCTGCGGGCTGACACACCCTCTTGCAGGAAGTAAAAATTTTTGCACTTGATCGCCAAGGGCAATTGCTAACTCACATGTCAGGGAAAGCAATTCACTCTTTTTCCTCCTTACCAACCACTCTAGTCCGAGGAAGACCGGAAGAATATTCTCAGGCTCCAGGATCTGGTGGACAAGCTGCAAATGAAGGTGAAATCCTACAAGAGACAAGCTGAGGAGGCTGTAAGTATTGCTTGGAGAATGGGCAAGAGCCACCTTCCATTGGGGCAGCACGCTCCTTGAGCAGCTGTCGGGGATGAACTGAGGGAAGGTCTGCAGCCTGTTTTATACAGGAGGGGAGACTAAAGAAACTCGGGGGCCACATCCACTGACTGAGAAGTTCATGAATCTCACTAATCTACAGCAGAAGGCTTCAGGGTCTTTCTCAACCTAATAAGTTACACTGATAGCTGGGCAGCAAGTAGTGGGAGACTAAGTACACCAATGACAAATCCCAGTGACAAAATAGCTCCTCAAGAGTGTCACGCTACTGGGGAAGCTCTTCACAGTGGAGTCCTGAATGAGGGAAGATGGGAGGTCTGTGTGAGGCTTATGTGTAAGCAGTGGTGGGTGGGGGATGGAGGTTTGTGCCTTCCCCCAGGGAAGAGCCGCAGCCCCGCAAGGCCGAGGCGCAGGAGGAGTGAAACCCCTGCCCTGAGCTCCTCACCACCGACTCCTTCTCCCCACACAGGAGGAGCTGTCCAATGTCAACCTCTCCAAGTTCCGCAAGATCCAGCATGAGCTGGAGGAAGCCGAGGAGCGGGCTGACATTGCAGAGTCGCAGGTCAACAAGCTCCGAGTCAAAAGCCGGGAGTTTCACAGTAAGAAGATAGGAGAGGAAGAGTGAGGATGTCATGAGGCAATAAAGCGACCTGAGAGCTGCACAAAATGTGAACCTCTCGGTCACTTTCTTTTGTAATTAGTCTTTGTAACCATGTCGATGTCTAGGGAATAAAGACCGTAGCTTCCTTTGCATACTCAGTATAAGTAGTGCTTTTGGTTGTTTCAATTCAGTTCTGCAGTTACATAAGTTTTGGTTGTTTTCAAATAATTAATTTTCAGGAGTAAGCTCCAAAAATGAATTTATTTTCTGGAATAAGATCCAGAAACTGTACTACTCCAGTTACTGTAACAGTTACAGCTTCAAGAGCAAACAACATCTTTTGCACAGTGTTTCCCAGTAATGGAATCGTAATTTAAAGTTAGAATTATTTTGTATAAGAAGAGAAACTGTAAACCAATATTTTACACGGTTTACAAGGATACATATCAAGAGGAACTGGTTTTGATTATCTGAAACTGGAAATGAGAACAATCTGGGAACATGACAGCATGAAAGAAATCTCCGAGTCTGACACTCTGAGAGTACAGGGAAACACTAAACATGGTAGCTCCACGCTGCCAACCAGTGCTTCCTGTCTGCCTTTTGCAGCAATGAATGAGCTTTGTTGTATAAGTGAATTGAATGTTGGGTGGAAAGAAGTGGCCAAAAGTCATTGACTTTTTTTTTTTTTCATCCCACATGGGGTAACTGCAAACAATTAAATCAGAATATAATGTGTGGGCAGGACAAAAATGAGGGAAAGCTGACCATGAGGAAGAGCTTCAAGGGAGAAAGGATGGCTCCCGACCCCAGCCATTCTCATCACTGCCACGAGGGGGCTGTGCAGTCTGAGCAGATGGCAAGTCTGGATACCACTGATGTCTCCACCCTAAAGCAAAGAGCATTGTACCCACTGGGAGATCACAATGACACTCAACAATAGTGCTTCATTATCTGGAATAGGTGTTTAAAAGAGGCACCTGCCTAATTACCTACACAAGAAGCAGCATTGCAGCATTGTGTAGCTGCTAAAGGCAGATTCTACAAGCAGATGTCAGGAATGGTAACGGAGACTTGTCTCCCTCTCACTACAGGGACACTTATGGGTCCCTCAAGGTTCCTGGCTACCTCTACACCACTACATTTCCAGGGAGGACTTCAAGAAGTTGTGAAGTTGCTGGGGAAGGGAGCTGGAGTTGTTGGAGGGGAGGTGGGGAGGAGGCAGCAGGAAGGAAGCCTTTTGCACTGACCAGAGTGGTCAGTGTGTTTGCAGCAACAGCATTCAGGATTAGCATTCAGCGCTCCTTCTCCCAAGCATGCTGAGGTTTACAGCCAAGGAATCCTCCCATGTTATAACTAAATATGGAAGTCCTTTGCTAGGCAGCAGCTAAATATAATGAAGGAAAAGATGACACCCTGTGTTGACTCTTGTGTAAGTGATGCTCTTGAGAGGCAGCACCTTTATGTGTGAAGCTGTGAAATCTGCATCAATGCCAGCGATAGCTGGGCCCCAAAGAAGGGAAACCACCCCTCTCCTCTCTCCCTTCCCACAGTATGCTCCCAAGAAATAGCTGGGATTCTTTCTTTCCAGACAAAACCTTTGTTTCCACACCTTGAAAGGAAGCACGAGGATTTTCTTTGTACTAAAGCACATATTTCTTTAAACGAACAAAGAAACAAAGAAACAAACAAACAAACGATACCAAACGCAAAAGCTTAATTCCAAAGTCAGGGTATTGCAACTGTGGCTCAGTAAAAGCATGGAGAAGTATTTCTACCTCCATGGGTACCTTTTTAAACCTGCTGACTGACTAGCAAATACCACAACAACTTTGGGGACCATACTGTGATGCCTAAAATCGCTGTTCCCCTTGGACAATACCATGATGACCACCCAAAATGAACAACCTGGCCTGACTGTGGAAGAATCATGATGCACTTGAAGCACTTGAAAATGTTAGGGCTCTTCTCTCACCTGTAAGAGATTATGGCTTGAGAATTTGTTCCTAAATGCCCAGCTGATGAAAGGTAATGTTGCAGGTTCCTTAAATGACAACATCTTGGTCCAATTATCTACTCCAAATTGCATGTGTGGGAAATGGAGCAAGTCCCACACATTGCACTGGGCTGACCTGGCCTTGCCACCAGCCATCCTGGAAAGCATGATCAGAGACTCCTTGGAATCAGAGTGGAATATTAATGGGAGGGGTACGAAAAACTAATTTCTCCTCACTTTGTGATTTGCTGCCTTAGATGGAGGACAGGAGTCATTTTGCATTGACACACTATTTCTGGAGTCAGACTGCTTGTGACCTGACAAGTGCTGATGCAAAGGTAACTGATCTTGGTGAAAAACATGGGTCCATAATAGGCATAAAGGAATATCTCTAAGAGAAGGTTTAAAATAGATGCATCTGATGAGCTCCAATAGAGTTGCTGCTGCATGTGGACTACGGAGTTCTCTGACCTTAAACAGCTTGGGCATGAAAGAGTTATAAGATGCACGAAGACATGGAGAAAGGATTTATGACCTGCAGAAAGAAGTTCCTGGCAGAGACTTCTTGCCAACAATGCCAGATTCAGCTTTCCAGTTCTCTAAAGTACTTACTGGCTATGCGCTCAGGCCACAGAAACATTGCCTTGACCAAAAAGTGCATTCCTCCCAGTGACAGA